GCTTTGCTTCTGTAGCTGCTCTCACGGCCTGCAGTTGCCATGGGAATGGGTGAGTGTGTTGCCATGGTTACGCGCTCTGCAGGCTGTACAGTGCGTGGGCAGAGGGAACATCTCTCTTTTCTTTCTCACCCCTCCCTCTGTGTGTCTCTCTCAGGTTAAAGAATCTACCGTTTACCTTTACAAAGCTGAAGGACCTGGCAGCTCTCTGGCTTTCTGACAATCAGGTATCTCTGTCCTCCCACACTCTCTCCCTGTGAGACTGTACCGGCAGCACAAACAATACTGTATAAACATATTAATCAGATATCAGGCCTTGCCTAGAGACACCCTATTTGTAAATAAAGGTTTTCTTTTCTAAGTTCTCCTGTTTATCAGTGTATTGTATCATATGAGTCTCTCTGTTTTGTCATCTGCTTTCATTCGTTCATGTTAATTTGCCATAAATGCTGTTTGCTCTTAATGCAAACTCAATGCTTCCTCCTTCTGTTTCATATTTAAAACCCAAAAGCAAGTGGTATTATTCCCTTATTTTCCTGGAAGACTTTTATTGTGAAACATCTGCAGGAAGTGTTGAGTTTTACTTGTTTTACTTGACATGACTCTGTCGTTGTACTAATAGAAGTAATGGTGTGCACACAATACTACTGAATTTACTGTACCTGCCATTACACGTAGTATACAGGTGATTGTGTTGTCCTCCTTCCCTCTGTATTTAATTGGGACCAGCTGTTATTTGTTCAAATACCCAATAATTAGTTGATTATTGTGTCTTTTTATGGGATAATTCTTGCCTATAAATACCTATAAATATTCTCAGTAACAGTGCCAAGGCTAACAACAATCCGACACTACTGTCTGATATAGTGGTGTAAATGAAGTATGTAGAGTTATTATACCGTCCATGCTCACTTATTTTTTAAATTTTTTCAACAATACAGAAATATTCTTCATGACATTTAAAGTGCAGTTTAAAGTTTAATCGAAGTTTGTTCAAAGTTGTTGGATCCCTAACTGAAGTGCTAAAGAAGAAAGCTAATTTAAAATTCAAATGCAATTTGTTAAACGGCAGTTCAGTCTTACATTTACATTTAAAATTGGCACTTATGTTTGCATATTGTCCAACAAAATTTAAACCCAAATTCAGTCACGCCATGTGCACTTAGACAGCTTGAAGATTCAAATGGCAGCAAAATTGACATTACATTTCCATACAGTGCAGAAGGCTTTATGTTATTATCTTTAATTTATACACCGAAACAGAAGGTAAAAATTCAGTTAAATTAATTCATTTTAACTTTCTGTGTTATTATAATTTATAATTCCATCACATTACCATTTTAATAGATATTAATCAGTGTTTTTTGTTACGAGATGAACATGCAAATTAAAGAGACATTTGACTCACTGATAGCGGATAGCAAAATTCAATTTGTATTACAAATATAAAATGCGACACAGTGTCTCCACTGTTTGAAATTCAGTTTTATCATTGGCAAAATTGATTTGCAAATTCTTTACAAGTGATTTACATAAATTCTGTGGTTGTTTCCCACCTGTCAGTCAGCCGGTTTTGTTCCAAGTCGACCTCTGAATAAAGTGAAGAGTCCTGTAGCCAATCAGATATTCTAATAGCCAATCAGGGAGCAGCATAGCTTTTTGTGCATCACAATTAGAGATAGGAGGTTTAGATTAGGAAACAAGGAATAAATGTGATCAGTGAATGTCCCCACAAGAATACTAATATAAACGTGTGTGTGTGTGTGTGTGTGTGTGTGTTTTTGTGTGTGTGTTTGCAGTCCAAGGCTCTGATCCCACTGCAGACAGAAGCCCACCCTGAAACCAAACAGAAGGTTTTGACCAACTACATGTTTCCTCAGCAACCGCGACATGATGAGGGTACAAACTTTGTGTGTTTATGTGTGTGTGTGTGTGTGTGTCTCATAATGTGTAGACGTGGTTTAAAGACATTTTAAAAAAGCCACAGAATGTTTTAAGTGTGTCTGACACCGTACATATAGTCCTACTGTATAATGGCAGCTCTAACCCCACCCTGTGTGTGTGTGTGTGTGTGTGTGTGTGTGTACAGATTACCAGTCGGACAGTGACAGCTTTAATCCTACTCTGTGGGAGGAGCAGAGACAGCAGAGGATGACTGTGGCCTTTGACTTTGAGGATAAGAAAGAAGAGGAAGACAACTCTGGGAAGGTCAAGGTCAGCTCTTTCTCTCTCTGTTTCTGTCTGTCTGCCTGCCTGTCTGTCTTCCTGTCTGTCTGTCCGTCTGCCTGTCTGCATGGAATTTTCTGGGTTGAATCATCAGTACAAACTGTGAGCGAATGTACTGACAAAATATGTCTTATTGAAGAAAAGGTTAAAGGTACGAGAAAAGAGTCCAAAGGAGTATTCATTAATAGAACTATATATCTATATATCGGCAACTTTTGTGCATCTTTATCCCTGATAGAAACACAAATGTGTTCTGAATATCTCATAAATATTTCAGCCACTGAAATCTGACATGTAATAAGTAGACTGGTTTCACTGAGACAAAGTTTAGAGATTTTCATATTTTTGTGGTGAGTAACCTCGAGGTCATCAAATTAAACTTTTGAAAGTGCATTTACAGTTTAAAATATATTACATTGCTTTTATATTTCTCCTCTGATTTCAGTGGTTGTTTGGAGTGTCTGAAACAATATTGAACAGTCAGTACCACAATGACAACATTCAAATTATCATTGGCAAGAAAATAAATAACTAACTAAACAATCAACAAGAAATGAGTGAAAGACATATTTTCACAAAATGTCTGATGTCTTGTTTGAGATGTTTTGAAGTTTCATGTAAGCAGACACACTTTTTCTTTAGTGATGCACCAGTTGGGAAATTCTGTCTGTACTGCTTAATGGGTCACATCGGCATTCAGGTTTCTCCAAAATCCGAGTTGGAAATAATCGACTTAAGATTTAGCTAGCATAAAACTGATGTGACACAACAGATAAACATCGGCCACTGATATCGGTGAATGCCATGTTATTTGCTGATAGGCCGACGTCCGTCAATAAGGCAAATATCAATACTGTTGTATCCTATTAATCGGTGCATCCCTGGTAGCATTCCTGCTCACTAACTGTGTGTGTGTGTCCTTTATTTGCATGTACACACTCAACCCGTTTCCATTTTTTTTCGTTCAGGTTGAGATAAACCTAAAGCGCTACCCAACACCTTACCCTGAGGACCTTAAGAACATGGTAAAGTCAGTGCAAAGCCTTGTGGGTAAAAGCGTACACGCCGGACACGGGCTCCAGCACCAGCACCAGCATCAACACCAGCACCAGCACCAGCATCAGCTGAGCACAGGCACTGCCACTTCGGCAGGAACCAACATGGAACACACACACCTCAGCAAAGAACAGTACGAACCACCGTGGCCCCTGCCTCCCAAAGAGGTAGGAAACGCACACTCCCAGCCACACACATGCACACACTCACAACCCAATGTATTCAAAATCACCACACAGCACATACATAGTGTTCACTCTGTAAATCAAGGTCCTGGGAACAACTGCAGTGATCATCAGATCCCTTTGAAACAGAAGTGAAGTGGATGTACATTCATAAGCATTAGCCATAGTGAGTTGTCACCAAATGCAACAGTCTCTGTAGGATTGAGATCTGTGGTCATAAAGGTGTGAGACAGGCAGCACAAATCATCTGTGTGTGTGTATGTGTGTGTGTGTGTTTGCCAGGTGACAGACAGAGAGATGCAGGACTTCTCTCAGACTCAGCTAATGGATCAGGGATCAATGCATAACTCTGGCATCGACATTCCCAAGAGGAAGGACAAAGAGGACCTGACAGAGAGCTCTGAGGTTGTCACATAGTGTCCCATAAGCACAGTACATTCAAACAGAATTGTGTGAATTTGATGTTTTTTTGCGTGTTGTAATGCACTTTCATTCACATCGTACAATCATCATATTCATTCAGATGAATATGTTTTGTTTCTTGTGATCATTACCATTATCAGGGTTATACCTAAAGGGTAACGTCTGTATTTTTAAATCTGGAGCTGGTGCTTCACGGCTGCCGGCTGCAGTGCTCTCCCTAAATACTGGACTGAGTTCAAAACTTGTTGTCCCCCATTAGTCACTTTGACACAAAAAAATGAGAAAATAGCATCCAGGTTGAAAATACCGACGTTACCCTTTAAGGACAATATAGATGAAATGTTCTACATCAGAGCTTGGTCATAGGTTAGTTAAGGAAGTCTCATAAGCTTATTTTATAGTTGTTGTTTTTTCTATAGAGGAAGCGGGGTCCCCTTCTACAGACTCCGCCATGTTGATGTCTTTCTGTCTTACTGTACTGTATGCTACATGATATGAACCTGTGGGTTTTATCTTTCCGCAGGACTCGATGGGCGGCTCTCCCAACGACATCCGTATCTCGGACATGAGGCCCACCCTGGTGGAGCCACCGATGTACAAACCAAAAGTGGTGCTGCTGGGGAAGGACAAGAAAGGTAATGTAACATCCTGTATGTACAGCAACATGGAGACAAACATAGACACAAAGAGCCTCATACATGTAGACACACGGGTGCACACATACGGTTCACGCAGTAATTTAATGTGGTCTATTGTAAAGCGCTTTGGGGCACGTTGTAATAGTGTCCTCTAATTAGTCATGGTGGTAAGCGGATTAATTTCAGCACATAACAGAGAGAGGGAGGGAATACCATAAACCTCTCCAGTGAATCTTGATTCCAGTCTTAAGTGTTAAGCTTTTAGCTTTGACTCCTTTTTTACTGATTTTGCCTCAAAGGCCTCAGTTTCATCATTGGTAAACTAAAGGCAAGGAAGTTTTACTAATGAACCCAAAGCTACTTTTACTGCCCTATCAAAAAATCTAAATAATAGTGTATAAAATACTGTTACTATAAAGTATATTATCTGATCTCTATGACAAACCCTGTCTAATTCAGAGTTCTATCATGTAATCTACTCTGTAATCTCTGTCCTGATGAATGTAAATTCTTAACTAAGGATCATGTGGTGAAGTTAATAAGAAGCTTTGTTTTATCAATATATTTATATGTTTGACTCATGACCCTGCTGGTTTGGTAATTGCTTAACTTTTCCCCTCCTTTATGCCTCTCTGCAACTGTTGTGTCTGTTTTGATCTAGGCCTGTCTTCCAAAAGAGGTTCTTGATTTCAGTGGGACTAGTATAGTTGAATAAAGATTTTTAGAAACTGTTAAACCTATCTTTTATAACCAGGCCATCTCTTGTGTCAGTGCAGTGGACTCAATATTGTCCAAACATATAATGAGAGCACTAAAGGAATCTGGGTTAAGGGACAGATAATAAGACTCAGAAAGAGATGCGATTCTTCCACCTCTCATTAATACAGTATAGAGGCTTCAATGAAATTCAACCCAAACATAATTCTTGATACACTTCCTGATTTTGTTGAAGCTCTCATTAGCTTTAAGCTTTGACAACATAGTTTGCAGTTTAGTTTCAATATCCAAACAGTGAGCTGGGTTTTTAGGCTCTGTTGGTTTGCATGTGAGGACAATTTATTAGCTCCACCATTGCTACACTCACTGGCGCTTTCCTTTTTCCCCCTCGGCTTCCAACCTACACAAAAACACATCTGGAGCTGCAAGAAAGAATTATTTGAATGATTTATTTATCTTTGATTTACCAGCTAATAGTTAACTTCAGAAATAGTGAAAAATGCCCATCATAATTTCCCATATTTAAAGGTGAAGATTTCCAATGACATAAAACAGAGGAAATCAATTAAATCAAATCAAAATTTTCTCATTTGGGAGCCTGTAACTAGCACAGCTTTGTGTGTAATAAATGGCTTAAATTGGGGATGTAAAGATATATTGCGAGACACAAATATGCCAAGATTCAAATCGATGAGATGAAACATTTATTGTGTTTTTTAAACAGCTGTCTACTTTGCTTGTATGACGTCCTACGTCCCTGCCATCAAATACATCAGTTTCACTTTTACAAAGAAAAGTGCATTGTTTCACAGTTTATACTGACAGAAATAAAAAACTTATTCTATAATTTGAAAATATAAAAGAAAATATGCTAAATACGCTAATTTTTGAGAAATGTTGAGAAATATAGGAATCTGTCTTAAATCTAATTTTGTTAGAACAATCAGGATAAATCCTATATCCTAAATTTTGAACCCAGTATCGTGAATTGTATCGAATCGTGAGTTGAGTGTATTGTTACATGCCTTGCTTAAATAATTAATTTGTTACTAAAATGTGTTTTTTATTAATCAATTAAGTTATTCATTGTTCCAACACTGACAACATTGTTTGGCTGTGTTTCCATGGAGGTTCATGTGCCTGACCACAAGCCGCTTCTTAAGCTGATACTTGCTTTGGGCAGAAATAGAAAAATCAAACTTAATCTAACATATATCATAAACCTATAATTATTTTGACATTGAGTATCTCTGATAAATTATAGGGTTTCATTAAAACAGAAATTAGTTATGTCTGTTCATTCTTTCAGACATTAAGCAGCTGTTCACAGAACCGACTGTCACCATCGTTTTAAATATGGCAATCAAAGTGTGTGTGAAGTCAGTTGAACGTATCCTTAGATCACTACCAATATGAGCTATGTGTTATTGTGATATAGAAAGATATGCAGAAAGAAATCAAATCCAGGGGGATAAAATACAGGTTTTTTTTAATCGACATGACAAAGACACTTTAAAAAGAAGAGGATGTGACATTTTCACTGAACAGAGAGGTCTGTCTCTCTACTGTCTATCTGCGTCTGTCTGTCCAGAGTCTACAGATGAGGAGGTGGATAAGCTTCACTGTCTGAACCACAGCGGCTCCTCAGCCACCTACTCCGACTATTCTCCCTCACAGGGCTCCTCCGGCTCCTCCAACCCGCCCGCCAACACGCACTCACACACACTGTCTCACACACACCAACACAATCCCGCCCTGCCGGCCCCCAACAAGGACCAAACCCCTCAAACACACTGGACCAACAGGTACACACACACACACAAACACACATGCCTGCTTCATGTTCAATTTCACCACTGTCCCTCCATCTGACTATCTATCATCTCTTCTTCTCTTTCAATTCCAACCTCTCCCCCCTTCAATCTCTTCAATATGTCATCTATCTATCCAGTCGCTCCATCCATCCTCTCCTCCCTCCATGTTTTTGTGTCTTTCTCATCTCTCTGCTGCTCAGTCAAGGTCAGGGAGACTCATTAGGATGCTGCAGACTTGTGTTCAGGATTCTCTCTCTTTTCCTGTCTCAGCTCGCTTCCTTCCCTGCTCCAAAGCTGCCCAGGCTTCAGTACTATCTACAGGTTTTTTTTGTTTTTTTTTTACAACAAAATGTAAAAATAAACAAAAAAAGAGAGGCTTGGTCCTCCTACTAAAGTTGTTACTCTGATTGCAGTGCACTTACATATGATTAGGTTTGACAGATTTGGAATGAATAATAGCATTGAAAACTAATATCCAAAGTGTTTTGATGCTGTTTTGACTTCTAATCAGAAATGTTGCAGCTATAAACAACAACGAATGTATCAACTTAAAATGCCTGCCATACTTATGACACTTGCACAATAGCCTCAACAATACTAAAGATTGGAACCTGAAGCCTGTAAGATCAACGTTAACAGCAACACCTTAAAAACGTAATGTTTTCTTGTTGGGACCACAATATGTGCTGAGACATTTTAGAGTTGAAAAATTAACTTGTCAAGACTTGCCAAAGCTGTTTCTAACCTACGTTATCTTTGGCATTCTCTTGTTACTTTTGAGCCAACATATTAATTGATAACAATAAATCTGCAATAAACTAATTATTGTCTGATGTATCGTCTAGCTCTAATTTTTATAGTGCAAGCTGTTGTATCAACGTCTGTTCAAAGTAGAAAAGCTTGCTGGCTTACTGGCATGTCATTTTAATATCGGGGCATTGCTAAAATCCTTTATTCATGTCACTAGTTTCTACTATTTTACATCCTTGATTATCATGACAGAACAAAGATCTAATGTGTCCACATTATCCCCTCTTGTGATCTAAGGATTCAAGAATCCTGTAGAATACGTAGGTTGAATTTGTAACGTTCTAGTTCTAGCTTTTTCTGTTTCCTCTCTTTATTATTTTTTGCATTGTTTTAAAGGACAGTAACCTTTTCCATTGCTCTATCACGTCTATAATAATGTTAAAAACTCATTTTTTTGTCCTCACTCTTCCCATGCCTCTCCTCGTTCGAAGGAGTCCCTGCAGGTTGAAAGCTCGCTTTGGTATTTTTTGACATTAAAATTGTCATTTCAGATGCCCCCGGGGTGATGTACAGATCACAATCTGTATATTTGTCCCTTTGTCTGTGTACTTGTGAAACGTGGTATTTGCAAACTGCAAGTGGCAGTGAGCGAGGTTGAAGGCATTAATATTTTCTCTTCAAGGCTGCTCTCGGGAACATTAATTACAACAAACATGGTTGTTGGCCAAATTGATCTTTCAGAGAGACATGAGAGAGAGAGGGGAAGAAAGTTATGCTGTTCCCAGTACCCACTGGCTCTGATTAAATATACAGCACATAATAATGTAATATGGCAGTTCAGTATAATTCAGTTCATTTTATTATTTGCCACGGCATAATTAGTGTTTAATATTTTGTATCTTTGTAGACTGGCTCAGTCGTTCCCCAAGCCCATTGACTCAAAGCCCCTGCTATCTCAGAGAGAAACCCCTCCATCAGGAACCCTGCAGCAGCGTGGAGATCGACGTCCACTGAGCGAGCCTTTTGACTGGTCCGAGGCCCCTCACTATGACAACACAGGTTTTGATGCTGAGGAGTCTCCTCTGGACGCTCCATCTACTGGGAGTCAGGGAAACCCACCGCTGGGCTCCAAACCCCGCAGCCAGTCAACACATGGGCGACGCCCCCTCCTCAGGCAAGAGCGAATCGTAGGAGTACCTCTGGAGCTGGACACTCACACGCTTCCCTTCCACAGCAACCAACGCTCCACTCCAGACAATGACCCACAATCCTCCGGACCTTCCAGCCAGAATCCTTGGCAGAACTGGACCAGAACCCCCAGCCCACTGGAGGACCGAACCGCTTTTCCCTCTAAACTGGATATGACGCCAACGTCCAGCCCCAACCCTGATCGCAAGGACATAGACTCAAGGTAATTGAATGGAGCACCAACGGTCCCACAGTTCGATGTGTTTACGTGGAAGGCTTCATGACCCCACGGGTTCATTTCAATCAATCATTACAGCTGGATTTGTACTCTTTTCTCTGGTTGAAGGTGCAGTATTCTGATCAGCACATTAATCATATTCCTGGATTAATATGGTGAATAAGTGAGAACCAGTGCTCTATAATAACCTTATCTTGTGTTTTGAAACTTTAGACTAGATTTAGATATCAACAAGCAAAAAATGTCCTTTTCAAAATATGACCATATTCTGATTTCCTCAGGTTTATACAGTTATAAATTGAATTTACATTTCAGTGTTATTAGCAATGCCAAACTATAATGAGATATGGTCAAATTATGAATTGAACAAATTGCATGCTAGCATAATAATGTGCAGGAATCTGATCCACTTCTTCATTTCTTATCTCATTATTACTAACACTAACCTGCTTCTACACTTCTGAACAGCCACCCACATTTTATTAGCCATTAAAATAAAATGAATAATGGAGAAGAACCTGTCTTTCTGCTTCACTTTTGCTTAACTCTAACACTGTTCTAGTTCAGCTCATATTAGTATAACACTTCCTGTTCCCTTTCTCTTGTTCTTTGCTCCAAGGATGGAACAAGGTGCAGGGCCTTTGCCTGGCAGCTGGACATACCACAACAATCAGGGGGAGCAGGGCAGGAAGGATCAGCTAAGTGTCAGCGGGGGCAACAAGGTGACCGTGGTGATGAGTAAAAGCTCTGACCGCCTGTCTCCCATGATGAGGGAGACAAGATCTAAGTTTAAGAAGTCACAGAGCATCGATGAGATTGACATCGGCTCCTACAAGGTCTACAGGTAGGTTTAGTTTTGTTGTTTGTTATTGTTTATATTACAATAGTAGTGCTAACATGTTCTTTCAGTAGGTCAAGTAATTGCAAAGTTGTAGCTGATTTCTATTGCTGCTCTCTCTACAGTATCCCCGTGGACAGCTACAGTTCATCTATTGAGCAGCAGACTAGTTTGGACCGTCCAGAGTTGCCCTGTTCTATGGAGCAGACCAACATGTCACGGTCACAGTCGGCCCCCATGTTAGACGATGAGATGGGCTTCCCAGGACATGGAGGCGGCAACCAGAACCACGGGGGACAGAACCAAAAACCTGCCATCCCACATAAGGCGTATCACTTTGACCACAACTACAACCCCCAGGTTAGCACCTTTTTGGCTACTTTGGGTTGAGTTTATATGGCAGTCAAAGAGTTACTTATTAAATATCCAGCATTTATTGAGCATTATTGTTTTTAAGGTTGTGTTTCTGAAAACTTGGCAAAGTCACTCCTGAAGGAGGCTCTTTAGCTGCTAAATGCTAAACTGCTCTTACTAGCTGGTCACTAACTATGTCTGTCTGCTGTTTGGTGCTGGGCAGATAGCGTTTTTGGTGAAAAAAGCAACACTGCAGCAAGGTGAAAAGTTAAACCACTGGAGATCAGCAAAGACATTATTTTCAGGGGTGTTTAATTTAAATAAAGTTTATGTTTTTTTCTGGAAGATAACTAAACTAAAGTCTTAAGTCGTAACAGTTTTGTATGACAACAACAATGGCTGAAAGTTTTACATGGACTTACTGGTAACCATTCTAACCAATCAGGTGACCATGGACCGTCGGGTCCCTCCCCCCTTCCCCAACACACCAGATTATGTCAACCACTCATCAAAGGCCTTGGAGTACATCAATCAACCAGGGAAGACATTACCCAAGGAGTTGGTGAGCCCTCGGTATCGTGCATATCCACCGCTGGAGATGTTTTCTTTTCCCCAATCACCTATCAATCAGGATGGTCCGCCCAGCCAGCAGCAACAGCAGCCAGTCCCTACACAGCGCTCCAGGCCAGGGTTTTTGAGGAGAGCAGATTCATTGGTGAGCTCTACAGAGCTTGCTTTGTTCCGCAGAGTCCATGAAGCCCAGCAGGAGGCGCTGCAGGAAGCTCAGTACAGACAGCAGGTAGGTGATCTGTTGTCTGAAAAAGTATGCTTGTTTTGGATGTGTGTGCTTTAGTTATAATGTGCACATTTTTTTCATTCCCCCACATCTATTATGTTTATGTCTACTGTAATATGGGGATGTATTTTTAGGATGCTTTTTTTTTTTTAATTCTATTATCTGATGAAACTCTCCTCAGGCGGATCCCCCTCTTTATAGTCGGGCTCTTGTCTACTCCACCCCCATGGAGCACTCTGCTCTCACCAACATGGCCGACAGCCAGAGCCAGATGCTGCACAATAAGAGAAACGGTCGCTACGATGACGACTATACCACCTACCAGGAACAGAAGAAGCCTATGATTGGTTACCCGACCAAGAGCCTGACTCAGCGCCGCCCTCTGTCTGCCAGGAGCTACAGTACTGAGACCTACGGAGCATCTCAGGTCTGTCTGTCACCTAAGATGCTGATGTAAACTTGTTTTAACGTGCAGTCCCATAAAATCCACTATCTGCTGATTAGTTTCTCGATTAACTGATTAGCTGTCCTGTCTATAGATGTCAGAAACAGCATAAAATGTCCATCACAGAGTCGAAAGTGATGTCTTCAAATTTCTTGTTTTGTCCAGCTGAAAGTCACAAACCTAAAGATTTTCAATTTATAATGATATCAAACAGAAAAAAAGCCTCATATTGGAAGAGCCAAAAATGTTTGCCATTATGGCTTGAACAATTATTTACACAATTAATCAATAATATATTTGTTAATAGATAACTGAGGTCCTTTTAAAGCACATTTATCATGTCCATCAGGT